CTTTCAGCGAAGTTCTTCAACAACTTTTGATCAAGTCGCTGCGTTCTTTGTGTTTGCATCCTCCAGAGCTTTAGAAAAATGCTCTAGTTTCGCGTCCACTATGCCTACTAAGGCTGAACATTCGCACTAGTCTTTCTGACTCAGCAGTGGGGATTAAGTTTCGCTTTTGGTGGCTCTCTGCTTAGTTGCGGAGTGCATTGCACCCTTACGGTGAAGGCTATGCAAAAAATACCATCACGTTTTTCAGAGGACTGCACCTTGAAGCCAGCCAGCAGTTTTCTGATTTGGCGAATTTTACGTTACTTGTTTGGCTGCATTCGCCTTTCTTTCGCGCTCGTGTGAACACCTGAGTCACCCTCGATCAGCGTGGACAACTAGGTGTACGAGGGATTGCCCGGTTTGCTGTGGTCATGTTTGCAGTTCTGGCTGCTGAAGTCCTGGGTTACGAGTGCATTCACAATCACAGGGGCTTTTTTGACGGAAGGCAGTTGGAGAATGGCAGTTTAATATTCTCCTTGGTTGTATGGTTCTCGCAACTTTCTAGATGTCGAAGTCAACACACGTGGTTTATTTGTCAGTCGGCTCCGTCGGTTGTCTCCGCAATTCTGACCCACTCCAGCTCAGAAGTCGTGGTTACTTTTCAGTTAACTCTTGTACGGTTGTCGCATTTTAAGGAAAACAGCGCTGATAGCTCAATGTACCGGGCGTTGCACCCAAGTGAGGCTTAAATTTTACAGAGCAACGCAACCTGTGATAATCGTGGAGACTTTGGTAGCGGTGCGGTACGCGCAGTATACGGAGTCGCGTCACCTGGGTTGTTGTGATTTCAAGAGAAGATGCCACGGTTATCTGCATTTTGAACTTGAGTGACGCGTGCCAATCCGCGGAAACAATCGAGAAATCCGATTTCTGGAATCAAGGTACTATTGCAAGGATAGTAATACACATATTCAAAAAAATCTCAACGGATTCTCCTCTGCAGATACGGTTCGGTTACAAAGTAAGGCAGTACAATCACCAGCCTGAGAATAAAGCGCAGATCACCTCGCCTCAAATTCGATATCGTCGCAACAGATATCGACGGATTTTCCCGCATCAAGCTACGGTCATTCTTGGCTCAAATACTTTACTTATTTCAAGTTCCGAGTGCACCTACAGCAGTACACCAAACGTTAATTGCTCACGCGCCAAACCATAGTGGTCTTTCTCTATGCGAGGAGTTCAAAAACCCATCTCCTACCTGCAGAGAGTTGGGCGCGTCGTTCCCATCTCCCATCACCCTACTCGCAACCCTCTATCAAACCGATCTTACGCACATCCCTCCTCAACCTACCGTCCCGTCTGCGTACAAGTACGGTTCTAACTAAACCGTCGCCTGATGTGTCACATTCGTCAACTACGCCTACGGGCCACTGTTCCCGAGAGAACGCACCTGATTGCACCGGGACTACATCCCTTTTCTTGAAGTTCCTTTGAGGCTTTTGCCACTTAGTCCGTTCTTGAAGCGGAGGTATGTATTCCTTCACCCAGCGCTTCCAAAATACTCGAGTGAAGTAATTCACCTCTTGCCGACCTCTCCTATACCTGTTTGTTATATTTTCCGGCACAACTCCGTGTACCCTACTGTAAGAATGAGCAAGTCATCCAGTGTTATTGCCGGCTTGTCGAAATAGTTGGTTTGTTTGGGCAACATGGAGCGCCAATTCATAACCTGCTCTGCTTCCGTGGGGAACATTACTGGTTCTTCGTCGCTCGTATTCTGCTCATTCACTGTCGACCTTAGTATCCGTCGTACGGAACGTATGAAACGTTCCCATACTTCACCCCCACAGCTGTTCAATGGTGGAGTAAATTGCTATTCGACGTTATACCGCATTGGTTCAACGCTGATGCGAAATGTGAAAGTCGATCTGTGGCTCGTTTCAATTCCGTCTCCGCCCTGACGAAATGAAAACCGTTATCACTGATAATCTTTTCTGGGGCTCCCCATCGTGCTGCAAAATGCATCAGCGTCTTAATGAAGGAGTCAGAAGATAATGAATGGGCCGTTTCAAGGTGAACTATCCTCATCTGTAAGTAGGTAAACAAGCAGCCGTACCTTTTCTCAGTTTTTCTTGCATTCCTAACTGCCAGCGGTCCAAAAAAGTCACACGCAACTATCTTGAAGGGATGCCAGCACGGCTGGATCCTGTCGACCGGCAGTGGTGCCAGAGCTTGTCGTGAAGCCGTGGTAAGCTTCCTTCGACACGTCCAGCCACCGTGGAGGGAAGGCTGGTGGAGTTGCCTTGTACTTACATACGGCTCTGCCCATCTCCAACAACATCTTGGGTTGCCGTCGAAAGCCACCAAGTCCACTCTAGGTAAGTCTACCTTAACCAGGCAAGAATTCGGTTTCACCGCTGGTGTCTCACATATGGGCGTGCCACTTCACATCCCGGCTAGGTAATCCTTTACCTTAAACTGTGTGTCAACCTGCACGTCAACGACGGAATCGTTGTGCAAATCCAGCCCTAACTCTACCGGACACACCTCATTACGCGCCTACATAAGCCGAAATTCCTTTTCCATTTCATCTGCCTTAATCTGTGTTCGCAACAACGCAGCTAACTTTAATTTTTCAAGCTTAGATGAGTCAGAGCCAGGAGATGAACCATTATCTGAAGGACTGCCGGAACGGCTGACTTGCCTCGATTTCTCCGATAGATAAAGATTCACTGACGGGGCTTTCTCCATCATCTTCCCCGAGTCCGTAGACCGTTGAGGACTGTTACGGCTATCTGCATTTTGAACTTGAGTGACGCGTGCCAATCCGCGGAAACAATCGAGAAATCCGATTTCTGGAATCAAGGTACTATTGCAAGGATAGTAATACACATATTCAAAAAAATCTCAACGGATTCTCCTCTGCAGATACCGTACGGTTACAAAGTAAGGCAGTACAATCACCAGCCTGAGAATAAAGCGCAGATCACCTCGCCTCAAATTCGATATCGTCGCAACGAAACAGATATCGACGGCGAGCAACCGCAACGATCACAATGTCCGACCAAAGTCCGTAGGAGTTTTGAAAGTAGTTCAGTAAAACAAGAGGACTCCAGGTCATCAAGTCGAGAGGAATAAATATGGTGATAGGCTGCCACATGTGGTTGGGAACGGGAGCACATGGTTGGTAAGCTGTCTTCTACACAAGAGTCTGTGACTACAATTCGTTTGGCCATAAGTTTGAGTTCAGGCTGAACTGGCATCAAGCAAAAGCTTTTTTCGCGTCTTTCTCCCAGAACTTCTGTGGCCAGCTTTCTCGCCTCTAGAGGGCGATCCTCTCACTGTCGCCTGATCATTGTGTCGGGCCTTTTGAATGATGACAGCCGCTCCAAGAGCTTCTGTACGTCAGTTGGGGAGGGAGGAGTGACAATATGCCCAAAAGTTCGCCTGCTGCACTTTTAATGTAACTGATCTGCGTGAATCGATTCGTGGTCAGGCTTTGTGAGGACAATACCGAAGCGTTACCGCGTCAGCTTCGTCGGCGTGATTTTTCTGGAGGGCGATCTCCGGATGATCATCCTGATCTCCCTTACGCGCCTGTTCACTAGAAATGCCGTGACGGTCTTTATTGCCGCATAAGGGCGACGGATGAACTACTTTGCAGACAGCAGACCCGGAATGGATCGCAAAAGTACTCTTTCAGCGAAGTTCTTCAACAACTTTTGATCAAGTCGCTGCGTTCTTTGTGTTTGCATCCTCCAGAGCTTTAGAAAAATGCTCTAGTTTCGCGTCCACTATGCCTACTAAGGCTGAACATTCGCACTAGTCTTTCTGACTCAGCAGTGGGGATTAAGTTTCGCTTTTGGTGGCTCTCTGCTTAGTTGCGGAGTGCATTGCACCCTTACGGTGAAGGCGACTGGCGTAGTCAAACGGGCCGAGAGAGTTAGCTAGTTGGCTTATCTGATCGTCCTGTAGACCCGTGCATTTAAATTGTCATCAGGTCTTGCATGTGTGGCATTGTATGCCGCGTCTTACGCTCGATGGACAGCCATTTCGTCCACATCTGTTGTGGCCCACCGACGCAGCTATCAAGCAGCCTGTATTGGTTTGTGCCATGATTGAGACTAGCTAAAAATAGGAACTGAGTGCAAAATAACAGAGTTTATCATGTAAATGTTATGATAGAGTGAGAAAATTCAACAAAAGACACGTGTGTACGCTGTAAACAGATTGAACAGTGAAAGAATTCTTTCACAGCTTTGCACGAGGGCAAACGAAACCAATGTCCAACAGTACCGAACGTTTTTCAACTGGAGTCTACAAGCTTTCAGCTTTCCAGTTAGCACTCTTCCGCGCCTGGGTGCAGAACCTGTGATGGAATCTGTGCAGAGCTACTGCACTAATGTTCGGCTCTTAAGCCGCAGGAGTTCGAGGCGTTTAGGCGGCATCAAAGCATCTTTATTTGTCTTGCAGTCATAAAAATCCACAATACTCTGCATTTCCGGATCGCTACGGAATGTAAACCTTCGACCGATTTAAGTGACTTTGTTTAAATGCGCCATTTCCCCACCCGGGTGTGGACTGGGTGCGGAAACTTGTTCCATTTCCGCACTGGTTCTGCATCCGGGTGCAGAAATCTGCGGACACTGTGCGGAAATTTCGACAATCTGGTGCAGATATGCTGCAGAAATTTCTGCACCGGCGCTGACTGTGTTACTAAACCACTGAGACTCCCGCAAGATGCCCAAATTCGAAAATCTGCTTTCTTCAGTGTCCTTGAAATTGAGTTTCTTTAAACAACGGTTCCAGTCGTGAGCTTTGAGACTTACACCTACAAGCGGTTATAAAACCGGTTATGTATAACGAACAGATATTTTAGTCAGTATGACTCTCCTCTATACACTTCAACAGACCTCAACGGCTCTCGGAGTTTGTTTGAACTGATTCGGTTTCGGATTCGCCATCTGTTTTCGCAACTCTCTGGTGACGTGTGTTTGCCCCGCGTATTCGGATACAAAATGAACCGTGACCCACGGTTCAGGCAGTTTAGTTGGCAGTCAATGTTTAGTTTTAATGACATGTAAGTTTTGTGCTTAGGTCATCATCGTTTTTAGCGACAAGCACGTTCAGGTACATTTGAAAAATGTCTATAGTACGCTCTCCATCGGGCTTATTCTGTCCTGTGTTGCCGCGTACGCTTTCACGCTATCGACATTCCTACAGGTGAGTTCTGTAAATCGTCGTCCTGGTTCTGGCCATCGTCCATCATGCGTTGTATGTTCGTGCACTATTCGCGTGTGTTTATGGTTTGATAAGGACGGCACTAGACGTCTAGTTTGCAGGCTATAGAAGCACCCTGGACAACGATTTCTGCAGATAAAGGACAGAAGTGAAGCTCTTGCGCCGAAGCCCAGTAAGCGAGGTTATATATCACCAGTGCTTGCAAATCACGGACTCACGGATTAATACACAGGATCGAGGCTTATGTCCAAATTGGTAACTTCATCAAACTTCAGTAGTTTAAGTGCGTCGCACCGGATTTTAATATAACCACATTTTAAAGCTCTCGAAACTTTGGCTCGTCACGGCAAATTTCATTAGTTCGTTCTGACACTTCATGATTAAATCTTCCCTGCAAGTAGTTTCTGTGCTCATGCAGCTCCCAGGTTGAACGCCCTCCGACAAGGTAGAAAGATTAAAAACCTGAGCCAATGAATAATGTTATCGTGAAATTTTTCCAACCTGTTGTACCTCTTGGAGTGTCCCTTTGATGTCATTTCCGCAATTTAGCCACCCAAAAACGAGATGATATCAAGTGATTTAAATTTTGGAAGTTGCATTTCGCGTGCTTTGTCAGTACACGGTGGCAAACATATGTCCTGAATAGCACATCGCGTTATTACTATCCTGTGTTATGGTTTTCATAAAACTGAACATGTGTTTGGAGGCTACCGGCGTTTGCATGAGGAGTGGCTTCGATCATATGATATTTGCGTTGTTTTGCATTGGACGCCCATTTTAGTTCAATTCAGTCCAGCTTATTAACCATATACCACAGCGAGAGCTGGTTGGTTTCACCCACTTCAGTTTCGATCACAGGGATGGGAGAGCGTGAGAGGTACAGAGAAGCACTGAAGATCATAGCATTATAGCACGCTCAAGACGATAACTTTGATACACGAGCGCTACAGGCTGCGCCATTGGGCTGTGGTTTCCATCTTTCCCAGCGGTCTGGACTGGGTGAATTGTTTAATGTTGCATACCTATTTGCCGTGTCGAGGATTCATGGATTGATACACGAGATGGAGGATTTTGTCCAAGATTCCCGGATCGGATTTGTTCTTGTCGTTCAGAGGCTGTTATTCATCTGACAGGTGGAAAAAGTGTGGCACTGTTTTCTATGTTCTCAGCGCGGAGCAGTATGCTTGGCAGCTCGAGGATTCGCACAAATGAGTGTTTAATAGTGCTTTGAACTGAGTCCTAGAGGGAGCCTGGACAACCGCCGAAGTCGATGATGAAAGAAAGCGTCCAGCTGTAGCACCCTTCCGGTGCCCAGCTGCCATGCCACCCGAAGGAAGCACGAGGGCTGGGATACTGCTAGGTTGCCCAAGCCTAGACAGGGGAAGTCGAGTGGCGGAGGTCGGATTCGAACCACGAACCTTCCGGTCAGTAAATTCGCGCTCTAACCACTTGGGCCATCTCGCCCCGCCGAAGTAAGGTTATTTCACGCAGCTACTACTCCGAAATGAAAAAAGTTTTGCCTAATGAATGTGTGCGCTCTGAGCTTGAAAATCTTATCTTGTCCCCCTTGTGTGTTTATCGGGTCAGTAGTGAAAAACCTGTTGATCAAGCTCTCTTCAAACAGGTCATAAGTAAGAATCAGGTGATTTCGGAGGAGACGATACTCCAGGTGAAACAGGTCAAGCACCGCGAGACGCGTTTCGTAGTCCGACAACCATTTCTAGCGGCTCGCTGGATACGCTCAGTAAGGGTGACGTCTTTCGTGCGTCCTGAGTAGACAACCTAAATGGCATATTCAAGGAGCGATCTGACATAGGCCCCATTGAGTATTTGGAAGTCCATGTGAGTAATACGGGGGAAGGTGCGCCAAATCATCCGTAGAATAGAGAATGCCTTTTGGGCCAATTTCTCATGGTGCAGTAAGAAGGGCAATTTTGAGGAGAGGAAGAGAGGGGTCGAGATGACTCAGTTGGTAAGAGCGCGAATTTACTGACCGGAAGGTCTGTGGTTTGAACCCTACCTCTGCCACTCGACTTCCCCTGTGTGGGCTTGGGCGACCTGACAGTATCCCAGCCCTCATGGCCCCTTCGTGCGGCATGGCAGCTAGGCACCGAAAGGGTGCTACAGCCGAACGATTTGAGGAGAGCCGGATACCGAAATCCTTTTTGGCATCTATCCTCACGATGTTTTCTGGTCCATTCTTACCATGCATGACAAAGGCATTTGCTGAGTCTCCTCCAAATGACGTATGGACGCAGTTTCCATCATTCAAAGAAAGTTGCCCGTCCATGGACCACTGCTTTCCAGCGTCTACATTCATTTGGAGGGCACTGGCGTTGGAACTCCAGGACTTCAAGTCGCAAGCCGCAGAAAGTGTACATGGACTTGCAAGAACATCTGGAGGGTCATTGCCGTACATCAGAAACAACACTGGTCCCAAAACGGATCCTTGAGGAACTCCAATGGGGACCGGCGCTGGAGAAGAATAGGTAGAGCCCACCTTCGCTCGAAATGATCTGTTTGCTAGGAGCGCCTTGATCTAGCGAAGGATTTTCCCTTGGATCCCGTAACACTTGAGTTTGTGGAGCGACGGGACGTGTGGGGCCCAATCAAATGCTTTTGAGAAGTCGAAAAGCATGGCATTCGATATGAGTTCCTCGTCCTTGGTTTGGATAAGACTGTCCATAATTACGAGCTCGTCAATTGTTTATGAAAAAGGTCGAGATCTCTTTTCAAGAAGACGCGGAACGCTTTGCGGTTACTTGCGGCTCATCCGTTTGCGTGCTTGTTTTTTTGAGACAAGCATCTCGTCCGCCCCGTAAACTTTCTGGAAAATGGTTCTATCTGAGTCTCCCACTGATGCTGATCCCAGTTCACTCATTTAAGTATGATGCACATTCCTGGATGGTCTGTGCAGCAGAAGTTTCGAAACCATGTTTGAGGTTCATGATTCCTGGCCCAACGGCAGATTAAATCAAAGGTTCGATCAGCACAAAGTGACCTCTATGTTCCAATGGAGTGTTAGCGAAGTGTCCTTCGTCGGTGGTGACCAAATCCAGGAGGGATGGTAGTTGGCCTGCGCGGTGTCTGGTGGTGCAACGACATATTGAGTTCAAGCGCTCTGTTGAATGACTTCGGTCAGCGCCGCTGCAAAAAGTCCACTTGATCTGACGCGCAAGAATACTCCATCTAGAAGGGATTTGGACCGTTATGGTTACTCACCAGCAGGAGATAAGTGAAGTGGTAGCTGGATGATAGTTGCTCAAGGGTTCTTATGAAGAACTGGTCATCTTCCGGAGGACTCGATGGGTAACAACAGGCCACACTGAGAATGAGAGGATGGACCAGCGCGGAGGGACTTGAATCCACAGTGCATCGCAAAAAGGTTCAGGAGTGGTATCAGAGAGGACAACCGAGATGGGGAGGGCCGTATGTAAGTACAAAGCAACTCCACCAGCCTTCCCTCGTTTTGAGTCCGCCGTGGCTGTTTGTGGAGCAGCGGGACATGTGGGACCCAATCAAATGCTTTTGAGAAGTCGAAAAACATGGCATCCGATATGAGTTCCTCGTCCTTGGTTTGGGTTAGGCTGTCCGTAAACATGTTATGCAGGAACGGTTTGGGGGAAATCCGTTTTGAGCTGGATAGATCAAGTTGTCTAGCTGGCCGACACCGTATACTACACGTCGGCCATAGCATTCTACGTTGGGCTTGTTTCTATCGTTCAGCAGTCTTTGGTTCGTCCGAAGGGGGCAGACGAACTTGAGTGTATGATTGTCGAAACTATAGTAGCTCAAAGCAACGTACTTTTGGCACCGAACGTTCCCAGGATTGGAAGGATTAGGACCCCAAGGAATTCGTGCAATGCACGCTTGTTCCGTAATTCGAGATGGAATATAATAGTCGGCAGCATGACTGCGCAGGAAGGTGAATTCGGTAATTGAAGGAGTAAACCGAATGAAAAGGTCGTGAGGCTCCGGAGCAAGACCTACACTTGTACAGTACTTTTCCGGGACAGCTGTGGCCCTTGAACTGATCGAATGCTGGCTGGAGCATATGGCCTTTTACGTCCTGAGCGAGGGAGCTGAAGGGCGGTGATAAGAATGTAATACCGGTTCACATGGAGCGGCGAGAAGACAACTATCCAGTCGTAAACATGAAAGTACAGTTTGCAAAGCGTCATTCGGATCAACATTCACAGGGTATACATTAAGCAAGTTCAAATCGCACTCCCGATAAGTGAGGAACGAAACCCTCACCAACTAGAACAGAATGACGTGCAGGCTCGATGCAGAGCGCTAAAGTGCGTCTCCCTCCAGGAGTTGGTCGTTCTCGTTTCCTGTCCATAGGGAATCTGAAGGTCCCTTCAGGTTGGTCTCTTAACATCCGTGTTGATAATTTACTCCAGGTCTTACTGTAGAAAATGCCTCGAATATGTCGTGGTAGTCAGTTTGAACAGGTTTGACAAGTGCCCATCTAGTTCCAGTTTACCCACAATGACCTAGGAGACACTTGGGTCGTATGTATCCGTGATAGCGTTTGGCCACCGCCTTCCCACTTTGCAGATGCTTAATCCGAAACACCAAGCGCCTACCTCGAAGTGGTGGCGTACTGTTCGATCTCTACAGATTGCCTGATGGAGACTCGTTCGCAGCCACCGATCACGTCTGCTTTTCCGAACAACCGAGCAAGCCCAAGATGTTGCCCAACAAGCCGGAAATTCGGTCATCCTTTGTCTTCCAGTCGAGCTTAGCTAGTGTTATCCTATCAGGTACGGTTTTTTAAATTCCTTAGCCCTATGTTCCTTCAAAGCGTTTTAGAAGAGGGATCTGGGGTGTAAGATCGCATGATCGCCGCTGCTTAATGGTGGATGGATGCACGCTCGTGAATCTCCATCTACGCTTGAAGGAACAAGGTCTAGAATAGAGGGCTTAGTGCCTGTCAAAATCTAGCAGTACTCTACATATTGACAGGGTCCGTGATCTGTTGTGACTGCCAAAGTTTTCGACACTTGTCCCTATCCACCATTGCTAGGCCACAGTTAATTTCGGGCACATTGAAGTCCTCCGTAATGAGGATAGCCGGATTGCTAGAACAACGCCATACGTATAAGCGACCCACGATTCTAGTGTTCCTGGATTTCCGAGGCGCATTCGACTCGGTTGATCGGTCTGTTCTTCTTGAGACGCTTGCCCACCAAGGAATGCCCCGGAAGTCTGTAAACATGATACGTTCTTTGTATCCTGACTTCCAGACATGTGAAAGTGCACGGAGAGCTCTCCAAAAGCTTCCCTACACAAAGCGGTGTCCGTCAGG